CTAAAGGTTACCAGAGACTGGGAGGAGAAGGGAATAGGGACTTACTGTTTAATGGGTACAGAGTTTCTACTGGGGATGATGAAAAAGTTAGATAGATAGATAGATAGATAGATAGATAGATAGATAGATAGATAGATTAGATTAGATAGATAGATAGATAGTGGTGATGATTACCCAGCATTGTGAATGGATTTAATGCTACTGAACTGTGCCCTTATGAATGCTTATGAATGCTTAAAATGATACACCTTATGATATTTTTACCATCATAAAAAGATAAATAAATAACATCTGATACATGCTGCAACAAGGATGAGCCTTAAAGACATCATGCTAGGTGAAATAAACCAGACACAGAAGGACAAATACTGTGTGATCGCACTTAAGTGAGATAGCTAGAGTGGTCATATTTCTAGAGACAGAACATGGAATGGTGGTTGCCAGGGCCCGGGGGAAGAAGAGAAGGAGGAGTTGGTGTTTAATAGGTATAGAGTTTCAGTTAGGGCTGATGAAAAAATACCCAGGGCTGGATGGTGATGATGGTTGCACAAGGTTATGAATGTGCTTAATGTCACTGAAATGTATTTTTAAATGGTTAAAATGGCAAATTTTATGTTATGTATATTTTACTCCACTGGACAATTTTTAATAAATGAGGGAGAAGCTGTTTTGTCCCGCACACCCTCTAAAAAGAGTCTCCCTTGTAATAGGGGCTCAGGAGTCCCAAATATTAGACACAGCGAGTCCCCTCCACAGGCCTCCAGCTGCTGGAGGGGTACCTCACAGTTCTGAGGATGTAACCAGGCAGGAGACAGAGCTGAGGAGGGGTGGGCTCTTGTGGGGCTCCCAGATGCCCCCCAGTGTCTCCACAGGATTGGCTGTGCATGGCATCCCTCTGCCCAGGGCCACTACCTCTGTTTTCCTGGCTCAGCCAGCGAGCTAAGGAGCTGTGTCATTGGTGGCTGTCAGGGTCCTGCTCTGGGCTACTTTATAGTTCCAGAAGTGTCCATTTGCTTCCCTTACCAATATCCCTGCTTTTAGAAAACTCAATATTCCTAATGCTCAATTCACAAACAGAGAAGTCATGATTCCAATACTCCAGGGTTTCCAAAAAAAAAAAAAAAAATCAGACACATTGATAAAGATATAACAATACATATTTTTTAAATGGCCCCACTCCATTTCTCAAGAGCATGCATTTCTCATAAAGTAAGATGCACTGGCATTTCTCCCAGGGCTCCAAGGACAATAGTCACTGCCACGTTTCCAGCCCAGAGCAGTCAGCAGGCCACCTTCACATCCCTCCCTCTGCTGGGTGACCTGCAGACTCTGAGCCTCCTCCAGGACCTTTGGTACTACCCGGCATCCCCTCTGGGAGCAGCTCTCAAAGCAGGGTCCGCCTGCCCTTTCTAGAAGAGGACCTTCCTCAAAGCCCTGGTGAGAAAAGCCCCAGTCCCTGGGAGACCTGCTGTCCTCTCAGCAGTCAGCACAGGTGAACAGGGACTGCAGCAGGTGTCCGTGTGACTTTGCCATTGACAAGCACACCCAGCAGTGCCTTGAGACCGGCTCAGAAAGTTATCTGCTGATACCAGACCCGTGGACACCTCCAGGAGCTGCCAGGGGATACTTGGCCTCAGCCACTTGCAGGTGCAGCCAGAAGCCTGCCCAGGCCGGTGCTTTGGAGCTGCGAGGGATCCTGCTTCCTGACAAGGGCCGGCTGGGCTCCCCAAGCCTTCTGGTCTTCAGACTCCCTGGGCTCAGCCTCCTGCGGCACTCTTGAGCTTCAGAGATGGCTGGTTCTGTGACTGGAGCTGTCAGTTGCGGAGACACTGCAGAGACACCTTTTAAAATTCATGGCCTTACCCATCAGAGTTCAGAAACAGATCAGACTCCAAGATGAAAGCGTGGTTTACCCTTTCCCTGGTCCTGCCGGCCCCTTCCCATCTCCCATTCCACCCTCCTTTCCATGTCTCCTTCCCGCAGCTTTCCTTCCCCATTGTCCCCCAGGATATTTTGCATTTATCCTAGTTTTTAATCCACCCGCTTTCATCAACCAAAGCCACAAGAACACTCCCCTGTTTCCAAAAAGAACATTTGCTCAGCTCGCAATGCAGGGCTGACTCTCAAAGGTATCTCCCTTTGTCAGGTAGGAAAGGGCCACCAAAGGTGCGGCTGGGCAAAGGAGATAGAGCAGAGTTTTGAATGGAAAAGGAGGTGGGCGGCAAGAGGTGCAGAGTTTTCATTTTTTTCCAAGAAAGGCATTTGCTGAAGGGCCATCCACTTGAGCCTGGGAGATGGGGGTGATCCCGGGGCGGGGCAGACGGGCTGGCAGCAGCAGCACACCCTGCCAAGGAAGATGAAAGAGCACTGTGTTTGCTCCTTGCCATGGGTATAAGCAACAACAGAGATCCTCTCAGGAGAATTCCATCCCCAGACCTTTCCTTGCAGCATTTCTCCTGTTGGGCCTTTACTGAGAGGCAGCACCGAGTGCCCTCATTGATGTGGGCACCAGGAAAGCTCACTCTCCTCCCGGACACAGGCTGCCACACTCAAGGCACAGAGACTCTTGGCAGCCACAAGAAGTGAATGGAAGAGAAACAAAGCCTGTGGACTTCAGGTGCATTGACCCAGTGGCCAACATGGCATGTCCAAGCCACAGAGACAGAGTCTGCCCTGGGAATGAATGATTCCTTTTGGAAGGAATGATGGATAACACTTATCAAGAATTTATCTGTACCTGGCACAGTTCTAAACTCTTCACCTATATCAGTTCACTTAACCCACATATCAACCTTATGTAGTACATCTCATTAGCCCCATGTGATGGTTAATGGGACCCAGATATTTGGTCAAACACCAGCATAGTTATTGCTGTGCAGGTAATTTTTAGATGAGATTAACACTTACATCAGTAGTCTTTGAGCAAAGCAGGTTACCCTGAATAATGTGGGTGGGCTTCAGCCAATCAGTGGAAGGTCTTAAGAGAAATGACTGAGGTCCCCTGGGGAAGAGAGAATTCTGTTCAGAATACCTTCCCACTGGAACACCATCAACTCCTCCCTGGGTGTCCAGCCTGCCCTGAACGTTTTGGACTTGCTAGTCTCCACAGTTGCTTGAGCCAATTTCTTAAAATAATTCTTCTTCTCCTCCTTCTCCTTTTCTTCTTCTTCTTCTCCTTCTCCTTCTTCCTCTTCCTCCTCTTCTCCTTCTTCTTCTTTTTCTTCATCTTTTTTTTTTCTCTCTCATTCTCTCTCTCCACCCCACCCATACCCACACCCTATTGTTTCTGTGTCTCTGGAGAACCCTAATACATCTTACCTTACAGATGAGGAAACTGGGGTGCAAAGGAGTCAGCTGCTTTGCTCAAGGCCTTGAGACCAGTGAGTGTCCCAGGCAGGACTAGAATGCATGCTGCCTGGCCCCAGACCTGGCTCAGGTATCCAGACAGGCTGCTGCTTCCCTCAGCCACAGGAAGTCACAGCTACCTCTCCATTCACAAACCAAAGAGGGTAGAAGGTGGAAGGAAAATGCATGAAAAGTAAAATTCAGCGGGGTCATTGGACAAGGACAGGATGTAGACTATAAAACCAACGATATTTGTTTTCATTCTAGGCTTTATTTTGATATCTGTGACCTTAAGTGTGATTTACATCTCTCTGAGCTTCCATTTTCCTGATCTGCAAAATACCATAAAAACTTTGCAAGGCTACTGAGGGATTAAATGGGATAATTTTATGTGCAAATAGTATTTTCCAGGATATGAGTGAAATCACATGGCTTCTGTGATTAAGACAACTGTTCCAAATTCTAGTGGTCTAAGTCCCCACTTGCTTGACTTGCAAGAGATCCAGGTATTTACAGAAATAAATAACTCTCTCCAATAAGTTTCAGGTCCTCAAAGCCGCCGACCTGTGCCCCTGCTGCCCGTGTTCTCATCCCAGGGGTGGGATCCCAACCATCTCAGTCCTCAGGGCCAGACAGTATAGCAGTGCCTTTCACGGAGCTCTCATCCACCTGAGTTCCAATTGCTGATCAAAGCAATGCCCAGAGCAAAGCTGCACCCCTAGCAGGTACAGTCTGGGCTACAAAGTGGGGTCCACTGCCCAGACTCTCCCCCTCTGGGCCAGCTAAGCATTATGATACCCCTCTTGCTCATGGTGATGACTCACCAGGATCTCCCCTCCCTGTTCCCCATCCCTACCCACCCATCCCTCAGATCTGTCACTGTGCCCAAAGCCTAACGGTGCACGGGACTCATGTATTTCTCTCTCAGAGGGCTTCTGCAGCCCCCATGGAAATAAGCATACACAAAAGGATGTGAAGAAGAAAGAAGCTTCACCAGTAACATCTCTGTACAGATCCTACCAGGCCGAAAGAACAAAAAGCCTAGCTGTGGGGTGGTTGTTTTGCTTTCTGGTTTTGTTTTCACTGAGGTTTCTGTCACATGTTAAAGATGTCCCATGTGTCAGGAACCATCACAAAGCGCTTGACCTGCTTTATCTCATTCAGTCGTCCCAACACCTCTGTTGTTGTGTCATTAATGTTCCCATTTTATGGATGAAGAAAACTGAGGCTTAAAGAAAAGAAGTAACATTTCCCTGCCTCACAAATAGTGACAGAGCCAACATACAAACCTAGGCTTGTCTGGCCCCAGAGCCCTCATCCTTCACCACCAGACTGCACCTTTGTAAAGCGCACAACTATTTGTGTCCAACAAATATTAGTTATCTTTTCTAGAAGCCAAGAGACATTTGTTCTATCCCAACTCTGTCTCTTAGAAGTCAAATGGCTCAGCTTCCGTATCTGTAAAAAAGAGAGAACTAAAGTAGAAAATTCTTATTGTTTCCTGAGGCTCTAAAACTCTACAATCCTAAGAATTAGTGGCCAGAGACCCTAAAGCTGCTTAATACATTTATACCACATCCTCCTCAGCTGGTACTCGGCATTGAGGAAAATTCTTAGAAACAGAAATAAACAAAAATATTAAGCATAAGGCATCATCAGATTTACATGTTATGCTGCCAGATTTATTGTTCTGTTCCTTTTCCTTTAAATGGGAACATTTAGGTCCAGGATATATGGTCATAATATCTCTGAGATGGGAGCTATTAGTGACTGGGCAAGCACATTTCCAATTCTAAGAACCTTCTCTGAAATTACATGCTTGATAATGTGAATATTAAAATTCCCCCTTCACCCAATAGCAATGTGGAAAAACATCTGTCCTTTTTGTTTTAAAATAAACATTGAGAATCTCTCTTTTAAAAATAGTAGAAATAATCATGAAACTAAGTATAACCAAAAGAAAAAGTATTTGAGAAGAACTGAAAGACTAAGGGAGAAACTTGATATAATACCATCTCCTTGTACTTATCCTCTTCCTTTTAGCTTAATGCCACCTCCTTCCTGAGCACAGAATTGGAACCCATGACGGATGAAGTCTTAGCCTCACGTATGGGTAGAGACTCATGTAAAAATAAACAGAGAGGAAATGCTGACGATGCCTTTCAGGCCACTCAGACCAATTCACTTCAACATGCTCATTGCTCCATTTCACTTCCTACACCTTGGCCTTGCATATTCTTGCCACGTAAGGGCCGACTCCCAATAGGGAGTTGATCCTTTTGTTTAGGAATTCCAGAGCCCCAGTCAGATGGGGGTCCTCATTCTGCTCCAGTGCACACACTCCACAAATCTCTCTCTCCTCTCTCTTATTTTTCATTTTTAACCATTTAAATTCATGGGTTTTTTTTATGTATTGCTAATGTATAACATAGTGTTCCAGAGGGACTGTCAAATTCCAAGAAAAATACACCTTCATTAACTCTCTCTACAAAGATTTACCATATCCCTACTATGCCAGCAGGTGTCTGTACAGAAACAAAAAGGCACAATCACCACCCAAAGGAACCACCTGTAGGATTCAATGTGGAGGCCACCTTCTCCGGGATGCCCTCCCCCGCACCCAGATCAGGGTCCTGTGGCATTGGGTCTCGAAGCCCATGATTCACCTCCACTGCAGCGTGATTGTTAGCTTACTTAGGAGGCCCTCATTGCTTTCTTCCAATCCAGTGGGAGACGTTCAAATAGGATGCAACTCACAACTCCCTTAGCCAGAGTTGCAGTAATGATAATAATGGTAATGATGTTGATAATCCTATAAATGAAAAAAAAAAAACTTTAACTCCTTTTTAAAGAAGGATTTCTTGCTTATCACCTTTGATCCTGAATCCCTGGATGTACCTAAGTGCAGGCTTCTTGGGGCTCAACACATGTCTGGGAGGATGCCAAGACGGCAGAATGATGTCAGTTTCTCACAGGGTGCTGCTCCCTCAGATCTGTACCATCCTGCCTAATATACGTCAGCTGCATCGAAATGAAAAATGAATAGGAAGTAGATCTTGCTGCTAAAACATATGTGTCAGAAAATCATTATGAGTATTAAATTACAGCAATAAAATGAACCAGAACTAATCTTGCAAATTAAGATCCAGTAAAATTTTTTTTATGGCCACACCTTTTCTTAAAAAAAAAAAAGAAAGAAAGAAAGAAAAAGAAGATTTAGCTTAACAGTATTAAAATTGACTAAGGAGTTTGAGGATGAGATGGAAATAGTTACTGATCAAGAAATTTTCATATGACAAATAGATTTGCATTTTTGGAAGGTGGGGTTGGAGGTTGTCGGGAGGAAGTTGAGAATACTGCCCCTGTGCCAAACAGTAAAATGATCAGTTTTTAAGCTGACATACCTATGTATTTTACATGTAAAATTTATGTATACATATTCCCCTTCCTCTCTTCGGCTCCCCCCAAATCCCCCAACCTCCCACTCCTTAGATAAGGTTCTGCTGACACAAGAAAGTAGTAAATTTCTAAATTTCTGACAACCTCTTATTTTTAGAGGAGACGCTGCTGTCGTTCAAATTAAATCTGAAGCTATAAACAAACCTTTAGAGCTTTGCCGGTTCACTGGAATAACAGGATATCTCCCTCCACCCTCCAGCAGGAGAGAGACTGTAATTAGCTCATTGTCCGTGAATAGGCACAAAAGAGGCGGTGCTCCCCATACTGGCTCCCTTTCAACAGCAGATCGCGGGGCAGATGTTAATTAATTAAGTGAGTAACTTCCACCATCTCCCAGGAACACCATGGAGCCCGACTCTCGGTTCCAAAAGGGACACTGAGGAAGAAGATGAAATATCCTGGCCAAGGACTCACAGAGAGGGTCCTCGGAGAAGCAAAAAAACACCACCAGGATTCACCTCCCTGCTGCAGCCCGCTTCCTGGCGCTGGTTTTGGCAGCACGTCCCGGGTTGTTCTGTGACACCCAGGGAACCAAACTATTTATAGCCATGCAATCATTATAAATAAAGCTGTTTATAACATCGAACCTTGGCCCCGCATGAGTTAAAACTCTAGACTGGCAGCTATAAATAACTCTGTTATGCGCTCAAGTGTGACTATTGACTGATACTTCCTCAAATTGTGACAAATAATGACAAGTTTGTTTGACAAACATCCCACTGACATTCATCTGATTTTGAATAAGTGGTGCTGCTTTCTTAATTTGGTCCCTGAGGCCCAGGACTTCAGGAACTTTCTTTATTCTTTCTCTCTCTCACCTCCTGCATCAGGAAACTGTCCTGTGTGTAGTTGTTTTTTCCCCTAATCAACTGGAAGGGATCTGGGGCCTTCTAAGGAGAAGCTTATTAAATCCACTGTTTCTCTCTTGGGATAATTCTGCTTTAGGGCCTTTGCAAGGGTCTGGGGAGTTTTGTTAATGACAGGAGAGAAGGAGGGAGGGGTAGAAAAATGTGGGCCAGCCTGTGGGGGTAGGTAACCCAAGGTGGAAAGGGGAAAGCAGAATTTAACATCAGACTGACTGGAATGTCAGTCTTTAAGGGGGACCCGAAACCTAGAAATCTGAGAAGTAGTTTACAGTGAATCAATGAAAGACAAGATTCTAGATTGAGGGATTTACCCCCCAGGGCTTCTGGTCTGAGAGATCTTGTAGATCCAAGATTGGGGTCCCCAAAGCTTGGGTTCTCTTTTGAGGTCAGCTGATATGATATTAACATACATCATGAGTGACGGGAGATTCTAGAGCTCTCATGGACCTATGAAATGTTCTCATGTGACTCAGTCATTTCCCAGGTCAAAGAGCTGAGGCCACAGGGGCTCGCAGGACCTCTTAGAGCAGAGCTAGACTAGAACTCAGCTCTCTGGACTCCTGGCTAGAAGCTTTATCTTTCATCAGGAAATTATTTAACATGTGAGAAGCATGTGGAATTGTCCCTGGTCTGTGTTGAATCTTTTAAAGGAGCGCACCATTCCCACTGTCCAGGTTGCACATCTTTTCTGTCTGTATTAACTCTATTTGCACAGTCTCATGCAGCGCCCACGGTCTCCAATCCCTCTTACGAGAGCTTTCACTGCAATCTTGTGGATATGCAAAACAGCTGCTCACTGGTCTCCCCACTCCCAGACCAAGCTGGGAGCGCAGTAAGAAGACCTGACTCAGGATCCTGCAAAGGCAGAGGTGGCACCTGAGAGCAAGTCTCCTTAAGTTTTGTGCCCTAGGATCCTCATGTGACTCACCCTAGTCCCAGCCACGCTTCCCCACATAAACATCTCCCAACTGGTTTGCATGTCTGCAAAAATTACTGCAGACATCTCACCCTTGCCGACAAAGTCCTCTATCCTCGTTTCTCCTGCTTCTCCAGCCCAAATCTATGTTTTTCGCCAAAGTGTACTCCTCACACTTCCCGGAACGCACACCCTCAGATGCTTCCCATTCCCTTTGATAAGAATGCCCCTTTACATGACAAAACCCTGACCATTTTTCCTGACTCATTGCAGATGCCCAAGGAAACCCTTGCTGACTGATCCGGCAGCTGTGATGTGCTTTCCTTGGAAGCCCCATCACCCTTATTTATACGTCTCTTTCAGCGCTGGCCTGTTTTAATCCTGCCTTACAGTTATTTGTGAATGCGCTTATGTTTAATCCTCCTTTCTACTGGTAAGGGGGAGATCTTTCTTAATCATTTTGATGTCATCTAGCACAGTGTATACCTAGGAAAAGATGAATGAAGTCTTTTAAATCTGCTTCCTAAAAGTGCAAGCAAAAACACAGAAAGAAACAAACCGGAAAATCTTCAAAAGTAATAAATGACAGTATCAACTAAGAAAGATTTGGCCAATGTGTAAATAAGTAGCAAAACCTAAAATGGCCCAGCCTGATAAGTGCATGCGTCCCTAGAACCAGCAACAGACACAGAAACTGGCAAGCTAGTGAGTAAGAGAACTGGAAAGAAAGAGGCCAAATAACTGGGCAATTAAACAAGCTGGAGGATCGCAGGGGCAAGTGTCTAACCCACTGCCAGTTAGCCGGCCAGCAAACATTTATTTAGAGCCTGCAAGCGCATGGCACAGAGCTGCTTGTTAAAGAAGATGCCTTCAGGAATTGACAATCAGCTCTCATTTCTACAATTTCCCTGCCATTTCAGCTTTTACTAAGACCTGTGGAACTCCAAGTCTCTTGTTGGTTCCCAAATTCTTAACAATGAGAGAATTTGCCAGGCTTTGCCCAGCCTCCCCAGAGAGTCCATATCCCTCTGTGTGTGTGTGTGTGTGTGTGTGTGTGTGTGTGTGTGTGTGTGTGTGTGTGTGTGTATCAGCCCTGGCTTATCAGCCTCCTGTAACCTGTCAGGGCTCTTGGTCCTTCGAGGACCTTGCGACACTCCATGGACTCATGACAGAACTCACTGCATCAGAACGAACCTAACCTGGAGAAGCAGCAGACGAGAAAACAGCAGCTGACAAGCGAACCACCAAAGAGGAAAAACCAAATTAAACACTCCTTAAGAAGCCAAGTTCTCTTTCTTCCTCAGAAATGACACGGGAAGGAAGGCGCGGGGCAGGAGAGGGGCTCCGAGTCCCTTTGCGCTGTTCCATATTAACACAGTCACACTTTGCGATGCACTTGTCACTTCCAATCAACACCAGGGCTTTCTGGGGCCTGGACACTCATTGAAGGGATTGTTACTGTTGGTGAATGGGGAATTAATTAATGCAAAGCCAACCAGTTCATAAATGCCTGCTTTGTGAGCAGTTCCTGCATCCCGGGGACCGCGACTCCTGTGGTCAGCGCAGCCCCAGGACTCCGTGTCAGCAAATGATATTTATGATCACCATCGGCCCGTTCTTCAAACCACCCGGGGGAAGCGAGGCCTCACCTGGAGCCTGGGCTTTTCCCGCTGTGGGCACAACCAAGGGTCCTCCGATTTCTCTGGGGCTGAGCAGGCAGAGCAAAAAAAACTCTCTTCAGTCTTCTGAATCTCTCGCCCACAACCTGACTGACTTCGTGAAGAAAGGCTTCATTTGCAAGTCATAGTGATGGGAACAGGCATGCAAACAGAGAAGCTTTTCTCAACCCACCCCGTTCCAAATTTGGTTACTTGACCTCTAGGCAGGTACAAGAACGTGCACACACACATACGCACACAATCGTGCACACACACATACGCACACAATCACACACACACACTCAAACAGCGCCACATATATGCACAGAATTTCTCTTATCTGTGTTACCTGCACAGTCGTCAACTAGTTTAAAAATCAGTTCTGATTTAAATGTGGCAAATGGACTCTTCAGGTAACCTAGTTACTAAGAATATAAGATGGAAAAAGTGGTAACCAAACATGCCAAGCCCCCTCCATCATATAGACACACGCATCTCATAAAGAGTACACAATGTAGTTTTATTCTCCCTCCAAAAAAAAAAAAAAAAAAGTTGGTCCCAAGTTCTGCTGACATAACATGTCCAGGCCCTGCCTCTGCTTTTTTTCTGTGGTGGCTTTGCTACCTCCTTGCTTTAAACTGCCATGACGCAGTCCTGAAGACTCCCTTTTGCCTTAAAATATAATGCACTATGATATTAAAGATGGTGGAACTGAGGATGGGTTTTGTTTCCTTTATGCTTTGCTGTGGTATCTAAATGTTCTACGATTAAGGTATGTTTTAGAGTCACCAAAAAAATGTATGGTGTAAAAGTAGAAAAGAATGTTAGTTTCATAAAATCCCTCAAGAGCTTGACTTTGGCCGCTTTATCTGATTTTGAGGAAGTAGGTGCTCTGGTCTTGAAAATCCGCCTGGGTCCTAAAGCAAGGAGACGGTGACATTTTCTGAAATTGGATCCCATGCTGCTGGTTTCTGTCTGACCTTAGGAAAAAAGCAGGAAGTAAAAAAGAAGTTTATCCTTGGAAAATTCATTCTCTCCTTGCCATGTCCTTAACCCTCTTCCTATAACCTTGCCACCACTCTAGGGGTTCCCATCACTTTTCCTGTTTTGCTTTTTTTTTGTTATCATCACTTAAAACATACCCTAAGGATAGGATGTAGGTATCAGTCATCTACACATTAGTATAAATTAAATTAATCAACATTACTTTAATCCCAATGTTATAAATTCCTATTTGTATTTTAATTCAAAATCCAATTGTATAATAAAATGTACCAGCTAATGAATAAAGGAGCTAATCTATGTCCTCTCTAGATCAGACATCTAGGCTACTGGCTTCTCTGTTTTTGGAAAGGTAGTCCCTGGAACAAATCACATAGTGCTGTGATAAATTTTTCCACATTAGCTATAGAATATCACCATTTAGTACCTCTATCCCTTTAGAAAGAACTCACTCGCCAGAGACATAGTTAAATGTAGGAATGGTTGCAGATAATGTGCGTTCTACAAAAATATTCATAAGCCAGCCCCAGAACTTTTGAAAAACAGTATTCTTTATTTCTACTTGGGAAATTGTATTTGCTACACATAGACATTGAGTATATATGTTGAGTGCCTGATAAATCAAAATGTGTAATGATCTTGAGTGCTAGATTTTAGAAACAGAGGAGGAAACTATATCCTAGAGAAGTTAAATATCTTGCTGCAGGTCATTCACTGGTCAATACACTAGGGCTTGAACCAGAAAGAATGGTTTCTGATTCCTAGACTGGGCTCTTTTTGTTTCAGTGTCTTATCTCCCAAGCCACCTAATTCAAGTTCTGGAAAGATCTGATTGCCTCAAGTCTGGGAGTGATCCTCCAACGCTTCCTTTTTGGGAATTCTTGGCAAGCAGGCTGAGAAATGAGGCTGACTCAGCAAACACCGTGTTTCTGACCCTCCTGAGCCTTCTCTGTTTATTAGACCATGCTCTGCAGATAAAAGGGCAACAAAAGACAGGAAAACTGAGGAAGAGACAATCACTTGTTGTAGTTGCCTTTTCCATCCTTCTGATCCATATCACAATCATTGTGGTCAATCCCTGGTCATCCACATGCTGTCCAGGCCCTAGAGAGAGGCAGGACTTCCAAGGAGCTTCCTCATGAAGCACCCCATAGGCAGAGTCTTGCAGCTGGGAGTCCACCTCCCCAACCAGAGGAGTGAAGCAGTGCTGATCTTCTCTTATCCAGAGGTGGAGTGCAACAGCTAGTTGACTCTGTACTCATGGTTAGTCCCAGGGTCACTTTCTAGGTGGTCCAGGTCCACCTAGACAGCATCTAGGCTCCCTGGTCCTTGTGTACCCTGTATATTTTCCAGCACAAATCTTCCTGCTGTCACCTGAATCCAAAAGGAGATCTTGACCATGACTAGTCAATGTGCACTCCATAAAGAATCTCAGTACCTGTCATTTACAGATTTGTTCATTCAGCTAAAATATGGCAAGTAGTTCCCATACACAAGGCACTGGGCCAGGTGCCCACTGCATAAAGAAGCCAATCACACAGCTCCTGCCCTCAATAAGCTGATGGGAAATCAGAAAGACAGGGACCAATGATAGACAGCCAAGTTAACTTATGCCCAGATAGACAAACACCTCTTTATTCTTTATGAGTCAGATCAAATATCATCTCCTTCAAAAGGTTTCCTGGCCATCTACAGGCCGTTACATGGTGATCCTTCTGTGCCCTGATGATACTTGGTTTGTTTGTCAATGATAGCATTTCTCGTGTTAAAATTACTTCTATGCATGTGTGTGTCATTCTTTAAATTATATGAAAAAGGGAGGCCGGGCGTGGTGGCTCATGCCTGTAATCCCAGCACTTTCGGAGGCCGAGGCGGGTGGATCACGAGGTCAGGAGATCGAGACCATCCTGGCTAACATGGTGAAATCCCATCTCTACTAAAAATACAAAAAAAAATTAGCCGGGAGTGGTGGCGGGCACCTGTAGTCCCAGCTACTCGGGAGGCTGAGGCAGGAGAATGGTGTGAACCTGGGAGGCGGAGCTTGCAGTGAGCTGAGATGCACCACTGCACTCCAGCCTGGACAACAGAGCGAGACTCCGTCTCAAAAAAAAAAAAAAAAAAAAGAAAGAAAGAAAAAGGGAGAGGGTGGAGGGAGGAAAGGCAGAAGCTATTATTCAGCATCTCCAGACACCCAGAGTATCTCGGACTTTTAAGACAAGTGGATGAATGGATGAATGGGTGAATGAATAAATGAATGAATTTTCAAGCTCTTTTGTCCTCTACACAGATTTTCTTGACCCAAATATGTATCCACCAGTCCAAACAAGAGGTAAATATCCTCATGGCTTCTGAATATGTGAACTGTGGTTGTTTCCTGCTCATTACCCAAACTCACAGAATTTGGAGCAACGAAAACCTCATCTCACTTAGCCTAAAGCACCAGTTTCTTGTCTTTGCTTTCATTTTTCCAAGAGTGTAATGAAAGTGCGTGTGCATGTGGGTGTGCATTTGTCCTGCACATAATTCCGCAGTGTCTTCAATTACAGGTGTCCCTCCAATAGGGCTCAGTGGTGAGGAGGGATGGAGGGCATGGAGGGCATGGAGGGGGAAGCCAGGGAGATAGGGAGAAGAAGCCTGCCACAACCAATCACCAAATCAATTCAACCAATCGATTAAATCTGAATGCACACTCAGCCACAGGAGGAGAAATTGGAGCAACACCCCAGTGTCTGGGTGGTTACAGTGTAAGTTAAATGGCCTGTTAATGTGATAGTTGAGACTTTTACACAGAAATTGCACTGGCTACAGTCACAGCACGGCAGACCTGGCTCCAAATCACCTCCTACCAGGCAGTGTCACACTGCAGGCCAGGGAGACAGGGATTTTCAATGCTACCTGGCCTGGCCTCCTGCCATCATTTTGAGCTTTCTCTGTTTTGTAGCCTATTACTTTTAAGAGAAGGCCAGTCATCTCCATTATAATGTGCACAGTGCCATAATTTTTTGTTTGTTCTTACAAGCGGAATAAAGATGTTTTACCCCAGAAATAAGAACAGTTTAAAAACAGTTTGTTACAACTCTTTTGATGAAGTCAGTCAGCAAAGCAAGAATAATAAGGTCAGGTGGCACCCTTGTCCAAGAAAAGAAGGCAGAAAGCGTTGAAGAGCAAAACACAAGGACTCTGACTAGATTCAAGACGGCCCTTTGGTTTTCTGTATAGCCCAAAGTACAGGTGAGGGAAATCTATGCTCAATGAGTCACCAACACTTATTGACCACCAATGTAGCCAAAGACTGTCTAGCTGATTCAGGACACCAAGAGGAAAGAGTTGATATGGGCATCACCTACAAGTCACTTCTCACTTAAAGAGTAAGATCACGCCTGTAATCCCAGCACTTTGGGAGGCCGAGGTGGGCAGATCACCTGAGGTCAGGAGTTTGAGACTAGCCTGGCCAACATGGTGAAACCCCATCTCTACTAAAACTACAAAAATTAGTGCCAGGTGTGGTGGCAGGTGCCTGTAGTCCCAGCTACTTGGGAGGCTGAGGCAAGGGAATCACTTGAGCCTGGGAGGCGGAGGCTGCAGTGAGCCAAGATTGTGCCGCTGCACTCCAGCCTGGGTGACAGAGTGAGACTCTGTCTCAAAAAAGTAAAAATAAAAATAAAAACAAAAACAAAAGGATAGGTAGAGCTAAACAATTAAAGGTCGTCACCATACAGATAACTGGAGGAAATAAGACTTGGTATATTACTTAGCAAAAATCCTTAAGATCCTCTTACAGTGCTCGCTTTGGCAGCATATGTACTAAAATTGGAATGATACCGAGATTAGCATGGGGCCTGCACATGGATGACACGCAAATTCATGAAGCATTCTATGTTTTTTTTAAAAAAATCCTTGTAAATCCTTCACCCATTCATTTGACATTCATTCATTCATTGAATGTTCCCATTGTGTCTTGTTATGATCATGCCGTCCTTTTCCTAAGAACATACTTTGTATGACTATATTATATTTTTGGCAAAAAGGGGAATCAACCCTTATCCATTTAATTCATTCAACATTCATTGACTTCTCACCTCAAGCCATGCTATAATCATGTAGTACTTTCTTAGGAATATACTTTTCCTATATATCATATCATATTTTATTTTATTTTGTTTTGCTTTTGGTGGCAGGAGGGATGGTGTATATCAGAAAACTTTTCACGTTGGTTTGAGTGACTTAGCAAGAAGACACTTCCACAGGTTGAATCCATTTCATTCAATAGCCAGGCAGCGATTGTAGACTCATAGGATTATAGAGACCTTGGAAGTGATCTCGCCAAGCTCCTTGCAGGAAAGACAAAGAAGTTATGGGCCAGATGTGGTGGCTCATCCTGTAATCCCAGCACTTTGGGAAGCCGAGGTGGGCGGATCATGAGGTCAGGAGATCGAGATCATCCTGGCTAACACAGTGAAACCCCATCTCTACTAAAAATACAAAAAATTAGGCTGGCGCGGTGGCATGCCCCTGTATTCCCCACTACTCAGGAGGCTGAGGCAGGAGAATCGCTAGAACCTGGGAGGTGGAGGTTGCAGTGAACCAAGATCGCACCACTGCACTCCAGCCTGGGCGACAGAGTGAGACTCTGTCAAAAAAAAAAAAAGTTATGTTACTCTTGCACAGTAATCCAGCTGCTACATCATGGAGCTGGAGCAATAGCCTAGGTCTCCTGGCAGTTGATCCAGCATACGTTCTGCTCCCCTACACTGCTGGGAATTCCAGTGTCTTGCGTTTATCTTCTCATAACAAAACACACAGTCTACTCTCTCCAACTTGGCCCTGGTGCTGAGGACATCTCTGACATCCCTGCTATGTGCCACTCTTGTCTCTGAAGGAGGATGCTCGGCTCCTCACAGTTCTATCAGCTCCCTAGCCCCATCTGTGTCCATGAGGACTGAGTGCCTGTGAGGCAGAGGGGCCTCAGGCTGGAGTAGCACAGGACACGCCAGGAACAGACAGGCCAAACTGGCTTCTTTTCTTTTCTATTTTCTTTTTTCTTTTTTTTTTTTTTTTTGGACACAGAGTCTTCCTCTGTCACCAGGCTGGAGTGCAGTGGCATGATCTTGGCTCACTGTAACCTCTGCCTCCCGGGTTCAAGCCATTCTCCTGGCTCAGCCTCCTGAGTAGCTGGGATTACAGGCGCCTACCACCACGCTCAGCTAATTTGTGTACTTTTAGTAGAGACAGGATTTCACCATGTTGGCCAAGATGGTCTTGATCTCCTGACCTCGTGATCCACCCGCCTTGGCCTCCCCAAAGTGCTGAGATTACAGACATGAGCCACTGCACTCGGCCCCCAAACTGGCTTATTTTCTTTGCTTACTTGGGAGTAAAATCCTTCCATGCCTGGATACTTTTCTTTTAGCCCCTGCTACTGGCAAAATGGTATCTCAAAGGCCTGGCTTGAGAAATGGCCATTCTTCTGCTACCCACACCCCATTCTTCTCCAAGGTGCTTCTCTCTCCCCATTGTCAAAGCCTTCAAGTATTTTTTCTGGTCAACTCAACTGCATACTGCAGTGCATGCTCCAGATCTAAATCATGCATGCAGTCTGGTGAATTATAAGCTCCTGTTATTCCATTTCTTCAGCCTAGGTTGAAACTTCTTTCAGCTCTTCAAGGCTCCTGGAACTCAGATCCACCCCTTCTGGCCTCTTTTAATAATTCAGTCCATGTTACCTGTGCTCTGCCATCTGGGGTCCTTCAACGAGCCTTTTTCTTGGTCTCTTCTTTTCATTGCCGTGAGCCAAGCTCTGTGTGTTAATTTTAATGGCTGTTCTCAAGGGCAAGTGATGCCCTGTACTAGTTTCCTGAGGCTACTATAATAAACTACCATAAATTTGGGGGCTTCAAAACAACAGAAAGGTGCTCTTTCACAGTTCTGGAGTTTCAAAGTCTGAAATCAAGGTATTGGCAGGACCATGTTCCCCTGGAAGACCCTGGGGAGAGTTCTTCCTTGCCTCTTCAAGCTTCTGGTGGCCCCAGGTGTTCCTTGGCTTGTGGCTGCACCATTCCAATTGCTGCTTCCATCTTCACGTGGTCTTCTCCTCTTCTCTCTGAGTGTTCTCCTCTTCTGTCTCTTTAAGGACAGTTGTCATGGGATTCAGAGCCCATCCAGATAATCCAGAGTAAACTTATCTTGAGGTCCTTAACTTAGTTATCTCTACAAAGACCCACTTCCCAAATAAGGCCACACTCACAGATTCTGGGGGTAAAGATCTGGACATGTCTTTTGGGGGTATCCATCACTCAGTTCACTACACTGTCTTCTAGCAATGCTGTTCACCCCTCAGCAGAAGTTGAATTATTGTACTTTGGATATTGGATGCTGGGTATTTGGTTGGCATTGGAGGTACAAGATGAATGAGGCATGCTTCCCACCCTACAGAAGTTCTTAATCAGGTAAATCAGACAGAAGCGCAAATAGGTCATTATACTACAACATAATAGATGCTATTTTTGAATAGGAAAAGTCCCATCACTCATGAATTCTATGGCCCATTTCCCTGAAAATTCTCATATTCCAAGCAGTGTCATCTTCCTTTTTGTTCATATGTCACTGAATCTGCTTAATCAGAAAAATGAATACCGGTGGGGAAAAGGGGTGGGAAGGGGGACAAGGGAGATTTATTCCCTGGAGAAGTCTCTCTAGGCCACATATGTCTGTCTGAATATTAGGAATAAGAGTAGACATTTGGCAAAAACACTGCACTGGGGGTAAAATGCTTCTGAGGTCTGAACAGAGAGCATCTCAGAGTCAGAAAGAGCTCACACATGGACAGAAGTGATGGCTCCCTGAAAAGGCCTCCATGGATTTGCGCACAAATTGACCACTTGGATGGACGCCAAGAAGCAGTCTCACTCCTTCACTCTTGAGTTGTTTAAGCATTTTAATACTTTACTCATGTGGGGCTGTATCTGAGACCTGTGTGAAACCTTGCATGTTTAGTACTCCAGATAGGAGATCGCTTGGCTTAAAGATAGGGAAACAAGGCCAGCGCTTCACTTCAAGACCAGTCATCCTAGGACCCTTTCCCAAATGTTCTGAGTAGCGAGGAGGGTGGGGTTGTGTAGGACACTATTCAGGAGATTAAGGATACTGGGTGGAGAGAAATCAAACAATACTTTGTGTAGTGATTCCATAAGATTCCTATCTCACAACAGAGGTTCCTTTCTGAGGCTAAAGTCTTCCATAATCTAGGGGGCAATTTGTGGATAATGTTCAGCCTTGAAAGCTGGTGCATACAGGCATCAGGAAGCTTGGTAAGAAGACAATGTGCAAATTGGCTGGAATATTGCGATTCAAAAATAGAACTCAACGTTGTTTACTACAGTGAGTCCTACACTCTACTTTTTAAAAACACACAGCGTATCTTGTAGTAAAACGAATTTTCTTATGATTATTTTCATAGTTGAGAGTCACTGAATAAGACATAGATGAATCATCTGAAACGAGCCCTTATCTTGTGTCCTGCTATTACCTCTCAAAAAACAATTGCACCCTGGAAGAGAGTTTCAAAATAACTAGCAAGAACCCACCAAACAAAATTCAAAGCTCTGCTAGAAAATTATCTAGGAAGTCAGGCTTTGGTGACTCTGCCCGGTAAAGAACTTTTTCTGCATGAGATACATGGCAGTTGAAAGATACCCTGTTGCCAGTTCTAATCTCTGCTCTTCAAAATGGATTCTGTTAAGTTCTGAGTGTAATATTTTGACAAATAAGAACAATAATAATCATAATTGTTATACCATCCCCAGTACTATAAAGGATAATGCCTCCATCTACCTGATTTTACCACTGAAAAATATTATGGAGTGAGGAGTTGACCTGGCCAACTGCTAGGTTCTCTCAGCTTACACTTTAGCCAAAAGAGGACAATTTGTGCTGACCCTATCTAGTCCTTGAAGTTCAGGGTGACTCCAGTGAGACCCGGCATTACGTTATACAAGTGAGTCTACCACACACACACAAAAAGGTTCTGATTCATTTATCCATCCTAATTCAGCCTATTAGAAAAATCAAGAAACTCTGTCCTTCAAAAAAATAGAGAGAAATGCATTGGTAAACTCTGTCTACTGATCTCATTGAAGAAGTCAGTGATATGAGGCACTATTAAGCTTATAGAGTCCCCTTTGTCTTTCCAGGATTGATTTTTTCACAACGTTTTAATAACAAATATTTCATGAGGGCCTACTATGTGCCAGGCATTGTGCTAAGGATTAGAGATGGGGAATACAGAATACTGAATAAATTAGAATATAATGTGATAATCAATATTACAGGAGAACATGCAAAGTATTGTCAGAGAACAATCTAGTAAGATGTTCCCTAAACTTACATGACAGAGAAAGAAAATAGAAATGAAGATTAAAATATAAGCACTCTAAGCTGTTGACTGAAGGAGCCAGATCTCTTGGTCCAGACATTCTAAACGTCTGTGAAAAGTTCCTTCCCTTTTGTTCCTGATTAGAAAGAGCTCTTTTTAGTTTCCATAGCTTCTAAAGTCATCTCTTATCGCCCAGCTCTTAAATGGCAAACTGTTTAAATTTAGCAGTCTTTATGTGCAGGAAAAGCCAATATAATCCAAACCTCCTATTTAAAATTCCTGGAAAGTAAAAGCCAAATCTTTCCCACCTCGCAGTCTGAACCGATCTCATTCTGTATCCATACCCGTATCAGATGATTGTTTAGAAGAATACCAATTAGAGCCCCTTAGAGGTTGCATGTCCACCCCCTCCACTGATGGACAACTCCTTTGACAATACCCCTGGTGGATGATCAGCCCGCATCTATTTTCCCACTTGCAATGGAATGCTTAGGGCTTTATGTGGCAGCCTGC